GTAGGATGACCTATGCTATGTTTTACTTTAAAACATTAAATGCACAATTTTTGAAATGTAATTGTTCTATTACAGTCAACAGTGTTTACAGGATTCCCTGATTCTGTTGCAATGTAACCATAAACGTAAGTAAATATTTTGCCATGTTCTCCTTCAAGCTTTCAACTGAAAATTCTGAATAAATAGAGTTTTCATGTTATCTGAAGTTATTTTGGCACCACTCTTTTTTAACGATCAGAAGAAATCTACCAAAATAAAATAGATGTTCTTTCTTCAATTATTTTAATAGCTTGTGGAAAAAAACTGGTGGCTCGGGAAGTCACCCCAAAGATTGTTGGAGGAAGCGATGCCAAAGAAGGGGCCTGGCCCTGGCTTGTCGCTCTGCACTATAATGGCAGACTGCTCTGTGGCGCATCTCTCGTCAGCAGTGAATGGCTGGTGTCTGCCGCACACTGCGTGTATGGGTGAGTACGACGTCACATGTCCCTTCCCAGACGAGGTCAAGGTCAAGGTCAAGGTCACCACTGCAGACGCTGTCGAGCGTCCCATTTCATGTGACCTCACAAAACCATCCCACCAGGGAGGGTTTCCTGCTGCTTATGACATTATAAACTTTCCAATCGTTTTCCCATTAGAATCACGTATAAAAATAGAGACAGTTCAATTTAAAAAATTTTTCTTCGTTAGATTCTTATATCAAATATTTTGTTTCCTACACACATAAAAAGTGAAGTTTTTACCTATTCACAAGGTAAGCATTTTTAAGGGTGTGAAATTAGTATTTAATGTATTAATTGTGTTAGTTACCATTCAATTAGTTCAATATTTGTTGTTAGCAAATTTTCAATATCAAAAAAGATGCATAAGTAGCCCTCAAATTACAAATATATTGTGCTCTAGAAGTTCATGTATGAGCACTTTGTTGTGATGAGAATAAAAGCGTTTTCTTAGTTCTCATCAGATCTGTTTTGATGCTACCTGTAACTAAAATTTAGACCTAATATCAATGATATCTAACTCTGTTTTTATAATATAAGACAAAACACATATTGAATTCTGGGATTTGTTTTCTCTCTCTAGAAGCAGGTACAGGAGAGAATAGAGTGAGTGGAGGGGAACAGGGGAAGAAAATAAGTAATCCTGGGTCCAAAAAAATGTTAGTTCTCTACTTCCGCATGAGAGAAGGCACCTCGTTAGATAGTCACATTCCAACCGTTCTGAATTAGGTCAGAAAAAAAGTGAGCTTCCTCATAGGAGATTTATGAGCATGACCTAGGACTGGTTTCCTGCCCCTAACTAAATAGGAGAGGTCTCCAGAGCATGACCTGACCAATGAGGGTTAGAGCAAGCCTCTCTGGAGCCAGCATCCAGGGTCTCTGAGGAAAGGACCGAGTGTGCTCAGGCATGGAAGAGGCAGCTGAAGTTAATAAGGTTAAAAGACATAACTCTCCCTACCAACGCAGACAATGACAGTTCTTGGGTAAATACAGACAAACTGTCAGACACAGAAGATTGTGAAAGTTTTACGGGAGATAGAAAAAGCCAAGGAGGATGAGCGTTAAAGGATTGAGCCTATGCCTAAATACTCATCATACCAGAGAGGAGAATAAGAAACCTCCCCTAGATCTCAGGTTGGCCAACTGGCTAGTCTCCAAAGGAGCGATCTGAGGTGATGTCCCGGGTACATCTGAAGTTCTTTCTGATTCTATGCCTTGAGTGGATATCTGGGTGACTAAGTGACGGCCTGTCCCGTACCTAAAGTGCACTCTCTTGATTTTGGTGCCTTCCGATAATTATATTTTAATCTGTTTTCAATCGTATCATAACAAGTATCTCTAACAGACAATTTTCCATCCCCTGCTAAACGTGGCTTTTAACCTTTACCTGCACATATTCTCTGCCTTGGCATATCACAGATGGGTAACACTTATATCCTAACTCTGTTGCAAATAAAAGGCATTTTAGCTAAAGTCTCCATGTTTCCTATTGCACATGGATAGGTCTTAGTAAGTTAGCAACCTAGCTATATTAACTTTGGATTTGGTAAATTCCTTTGTTTGATGTTCTTGTAGAATGTATGCTTTCTGTCAACCTGGCTTGCAGTAATATTAGTGATATCTTTTAA